GGAAAGCAATGGTTTAACACGTTGACGACATTGTGCAGCGCATGCGCATCACACCTTGAGCACCGTGTGGGACCGTGTGCAGCGCATGCGCTGCACACACAAAATATTTATTTTTTTCGCGCATGCGCTACTTCTTTTCTAATTTTTTGCATCTATTCCATAGACTACACCATAATATGACTAGACACGGCGAGGTTCATTGAATGGTTGAATATGCTCCTTTTTAGCGAAGGTTTTCTAAGCAACCTTACGAATTTCCCAATGTGTTAACATTCCTTAGTTTTCCTTTATATTCGATAAATCTTGTCATATAAAGAGGGCAGCAAGATATAAGTATACAGACACCACACATATACAAGAATCATCAATGTTGTTTAGTAAGCAGATCCGGTCACATAAAATAATTCTCTGAGGTTCACACTGGCCAGCCAAAAATAACTGAAAACCTAAAAGCCTTCATCGCCAGAAAACGTCAATTCGACCGATTTTTTACAGTTGTCCCTTCTGATAAGTTTGACACATCGAATATCGATTCTAAACATTTTGTTGCATCCGAGTTTTGGGTATTTAAAGCTCAAAATTCACGGATTTGATGTGAGGCGGCGGCGCCTGCAAAATCGCCGTGGTCCCACGCGGTGCAAAAACCCAAAACGCGCGTTGTCGTCAACGTGTTAAGCTACATGGTGAAAGAATCCGGGTCGAAAGTGCACAGCTGCAAAAAAATTCTGCACGGAGAAGGTGTCGAACAGTGGGCGGTAGAGATTGACCGAGCGTCGGCGGCTAGCGCCTTAGTGAGATGTGCAAAGTTGTCGCAACCTCTACCATTGCAGACTTAGCACGGGAGCAGACAATGGGAGGAACCAACATAGTGAAGCTGAGCTCAACATTTGCTCATAAGTGCCGAATAGATAGCGCAATCATGCTACTTAATTTTTCGTTTGCTTCATCGGAGTAAAATGATCGTAGTTGCCCTACGCTAGTAATCCGTAGCTTGCAAATCATGAATTAATCAGCAAGAAGGAGGGGTGTGCTCAACTGGTTACACTACGTGACATTTTATGGATTGGAGGGCGCCTATAACTGTACAAGAAAAAGGGCATGAATTGCAGTGCAAGGTTGACATACCGGATACCGTGCTAGATGTTCCTCGAAACTTTGACAGCGACGTCCTGCAGCACCAGTGCTACACAAAGGGAGAGTTATTGCATTTAGTGCCTTTAGGTGGATGTCAAACTTGTTGATTGCGCAATCACGACAGCGTTTGACCGTTTACAACACAATGGTCGAGTGGGCGTGTTGTTCTGATTCGGTGGTTCGCTTTGACTCCCCCACTTTCTTCACGATTTGGGGCGCGGCCGCGGCGAGCGCGGACGAGTCGATAGTGCCCGCGAACTGTGTGGGTAAATTTGAAAACGCTCCACCACCACAGTTCGCGGGCACTATCGACTCGTCCGCGCTCGCCGCGGCCGCGCCCCAAATCGTGAAGAAAGTGGGGGAGCCGTTGGCTTTAGGCGCGCTGTCGCGATTGTGCATTCGCAGAGCCTGACATCCACCTTACCCTCGATTTGTGGGCAGAGGTGATGTAGCGGTAAGTGGCGCTGCTTCCCAGAGATACGGTCCGGGTCACAAAGCCTGGGTATGTCGCCTGGGCTAACCAAGCTTGCTAGCTCTCCGGGATCGACTGATTGGCAACGAACATGTCGAGGAAGATAAAAACACAGTTTGTACATTGGCCAACCCCAGAAGAGGTCCATTCTTGGACCATGAGACATTCAAATGCCGAGGCGACTCCTAAAATGGTGGGATGCGTGGCGCATCCCCAAAAAGAATTGGAGCTTTATTCTTTTATTCTTTCACCGTTGATCAAACTGCATCTTGAAGGCATCTTTCGCAATCCCTTTGACGTAGTAGTTATGCGCTGTAGCAAAGGCATTAGAGGTGCAAGTTGGTCTTCAAGCAAGAAAGAGAAGAAACGAATCTTCGGATCATTACAAACATCAAAAATGTGTAAAATATGCTCAACAGGTAAGAATGCCGAGAAACGAGCAGGTTTTCTGAGTAAGTTTTTGGCTTGTTTGAAAAAATGCAGCCCGGAACTCTTGAAACTTTTCTTAACTTATTGATTTTTTTTGAATCAAGAAAGATCGGAGAAATTCATATTTTCCCACTGATACTGGTAATGACGGAAGCATGAAATATTTAAAGGTCGTTTGTTTCTACAACGGGCTTCTTGATTAGGCTGTCCCATAAGTATTATCGTTTCTATTCAAAGAATAACTTTTCTTCTGAAATCCAGTGCTTTCATAC